GCTAATAAAATCTGGGGTAGAGGAATAAGCTGTTATACGCCCAAATGCTCAGATGCCTTCCCCTATACCGGAACTTCTGGTCAGAGGAAGATTTCCTCTGACTGGCATTGCCATGGGGGATCATGGAGCCAGCTTCCTGTATGATCAGGAAGCTGAGTGGCGCGTAATGACTCGCCTCCCGGCTTCTTGATTGGCCGGGAAATTGCTCCATGCTAAATGGCCAGGAAGCTGGCTTTCCAGCCAATCAGCATGGAGCCGGCCAATCAGGAAGATGGGAGGCGGGTCATTACTAGCCACCGGGCTTCCCGCTTAGCCGGGAAGCTGGCTGGAGGCTGATTGGCTGGGAAGCCGGTTTCCCATCCAATCACAATCAAGGCGGCCAAACAACATGGAGCCAGCTTCCCGGGCAATCAGGAAGCCAGGCGGCATGTCATTACCCACCGCCCGGCTTCCTGATTGCCCGGGAAGCCGGCTCCATGCCAACGGAAGCACCAGTATCGGCGAGTACCAAAAACAAAATATCGGTACTCGTACTCGATACCGAAAAACCAGTATCGGTGCATCCCTAATACTTACCTTATCCCTCGCTCCCCAGGCAGCCGACGCTTTGGGTTGTGGCCCGGGACCGGAGTAGCCGGCCCTGCAGTTCGGGTGGGTATGGCACTTTTTATAGCACCTAGACAAAGACGAGCAGTTAACCCTTGCAGTGCAGGGGTAGTCCCATTGCAAGAGTTAAGAAAAGATTTGCCTGTTCTGCTTAAAGATACAACAAATGTATTCAGCAATCATAACGGTTCAATGTATACTGACTGCTGCTTTCATAAAGCCGCCCATACACCTTACAATTATCTGCAGAGTTTCTCTGGTCAGATGGAAAAAGTGCAACAGATTCCTCCATCCCCGCTAAACTGTGTGTATGGAGGAATCTCCCGCTGGGCCAAGCTTCAGTATCTTGCTAGTCGGCCCCGATGGCTGTCGACATACCTTAACAATCTGATTGGATGCCGGCATTGTTTGGGTATTTTGACAGCCAGCGGGGCCTACTAGCAAGATACTGAAGCTTGGCCCAGCGAGAGATTCCTCCATCCGCACAGTTAAGTGTAGATGGAGGAATCTGTTGCACTTTTTCCATCTGACCACAGAAACTCTGCAGATAATTGTAAGGTGTATGGCCGGCTTAACACAGAGCACTTGTGACTACAGAAACGCAGGTAAACAGACAGCACCCCTCTGTTACCACGAAATGCTGAGACGCTGAGGTAAGGGAGGTACAACGTGATCATCATCATAAAATCTAATTATTTATTTGAATCACATATTATCACTTGTTGTTTTAAAATATTTTAATGTAAATGTACAAATGGTTTTAATATAAATATCTCTAATATATCCAACTAAAATATTGATATTTTTATACCTTCAATAAATTCTTCTCAGATCTCGAGCCTGTAAGTTTTGTTGACTTCTTTTGTTTTTATATTGTGTGTGGCGATGGAGGTTACTTATGCAATCTTCCTAAACACAGATCCCTTGGTTACAAAACGATATTTGATGCAGTGCTGTCAGTCTAGAGTTGTGTTGTCTGACGCGTAGTACTGAAGAATGCCACTAGAGGGGGCTGGTCACATGTCATGGCTGCTTCTTCTCACCCCTCTGGGTAGATAGGAGTTAGGGCCATCGGCGCTGAACGCACGTGGGCCTTCGTTGCCAAGAAGCTTGCGCAAACGCATTATCTCTTGTTTGTACCTGCAGAAAAAAAAGGAAATGCAATCATTGGGTCCTGCTGGATTCATCTTTACAAATAGGCTAATATAGGTTGGGAGTGTTTTGTGCCAGTTCACGTTGATCTGAACTCACCGGCCTAGGTGTTTATCCACATATTCTTGCAGCTCAGCCACTTGCTCTTCTGCCACCAATGCCCGTGACAACAGCTGACTTCTCTCCCTCTCCAGATCCTCCTAGAGGAAAAAAATAAGCATGTGAATCACATATGTAGTCAGGGCTGTGCTAACTTGGTGGCCTTAGTAAGTATTATCGATGGGTGACAGCACTATCTCAGACCTCATTTTAGTAAACTGTCCCATCAAGATCAGAAATGTTATTATTTATATTGCACTTTCCCCCTGGGGACTGAAAGCACTCTTTCTGCTGTTGGGGAAGCTTCCTTGGGCATGTGCAGTAGAATATCACTAGGGCCAGTTAACCTACCAGCAAGTCTTTGGAGGAAACCAACACAAGTCCAAGGAGAACATGCACTAGGGTCAAACAACCTACCAGCAGGTCTTTGGAGGAAACCCACACAAGTCCAAGGAGAACATGCACTAGGGTCAAACAACCTACCAGCAGGTCTTTGGAGGAAACCTACACAAGTACAAGGAGAACATGCACTAGGGTCAAACAACCTACCAGCATGTCTTTGGAGGAAACCCACACAAGTACAAGGAGCACTTTTCTCCCCTCCATGGGGACTCAAAGCACTTTTTCTGTTGCTGGGGAAGCCATCTTGGGCATGAGCAGTAGAATATCACACTAGGGTCAATTGACCCAGCAGCATGTCTTTTGAGGAAACCCACACAAGTCCAAGGAGAACATGCAGCTAGTGTCAGTGTCCTGACTAGTTATTGAACCAAGAACTAGTCAGTGCTGCAAGGCAGAAGTGCTAACCACAACGCCACTGTGTTGGAATAGGCATGAAACCTCCACTCCTTTTGCTATAAGACACATTAACATGTATAAGGATCCGTGAATATTCTTTCCTTTACTATTTATTTGTCCCTCACTTCTGGGTGGAATGACCCTTTAAATGGCATTTTCTTGCATATGGCCCATCATATGGTCACCCTATGGGTAGTACTGACCTGTGTATTGTGTGTAAATTCTCTCAGCTGTTTCCTGATCTCTGCCCAGTTCTCCTCGCTCAGATGCCCTTGTAGTCTGTACAGTAAAAAGACAATCCTGTTAGTATTGCTGCGTACAGTGATTTGTCTGTGCCATCTCAATAGCAGCGCGGTGCCATATTGTGGGGGTCACCAAGCTGGGCCCACGATATTCTTTCTCATATGTCTTGTAGTTTTCAAATTCAGACCAAAGCTTTTTTGTTGTTGTTGTGTGTTGGGTAGAATAACGAAGGCAACTAAAGCAAAGTAATACTGTTCCACCTCCTCGTCCACAACACCGGCGCTCAGTCAAGGCTTCTGTCAACCCATGAACCATAGAGTGATGTAGAAAAGTTCAGGCCCATGTCTGGTTTGTCAAGAGCTATAAACATTTGGAAGGACTCGCTGCCATCTGTGTGTACATTTCTACAATACTAGAGCCGGGAAAGGTTAGATGGTCTGTAGGGTTTTACTGCTGACCCCTGGGGAAATTAATCCTCACTTCCTGTCCTTGTAACTCAACAGGAAGAGGGGAAATCTTCCTTATTAAATTAAAGTATATCTAAACTCAGGAACAAAATGTCTGGGAAGGTTCTCATTCATCCAGGTCACATGGTGTATCTGTAAAAAATCAGTCAAGGCAACTGGACCTGCTGTGTTTTTCTTGAAGACGTTCAATAGACATCCGACCAGCTTTCTCAATTCAGAATGACTTATTCCCAGAGAATAGTTTGTACAAGTCATTCTGAATTGAGAACGCTGGTCGGATGTCCAGTGAAACGTCTTCAAGAAAAATACAGCAAGTCCAGTTGCCTTGACTGATTTTTTACAGATATCAAGAACAAAATGTCATACTTTGCAGTCTACCAATCTTGGGTAGACTTGGCATCATTTGCCCTAGAAGACCGAGGACATCCTGTAGCGATAAGGCATTACTGCAATGTAGAGGAGGTGAGTACCGCAGCCTGAGCTGCTCTTTTCTTTTTTAAGCTTCCAGGAGGACTTTAAAAAAAAAATTTTTGGCTTTAATACTTACTTTTGATTGGATGCTGTGTTTTCATTGATGCGTCTCTGCAAGTAAGACATTATACAGTTACCAAGCTGAGTATATCAGAGGCGCACATTTCCTGAAGAGGAACCTAACCGTAAGTGTATGGGAATGGATCAGAGGATAGGTAATATCTGTATATGAAGACACTTGTGCTGAGTCTCCTTCAGATATGCTAACACTGGTTTATTCTTGTTTTCAAACTGAAATAGCTTTATTTAATTTATGTTTGCACATTTTGAAGATGATTTTCTGTATATTTATTTTATTACCTGTATTGTAGCTTATTATCTTTAAAAAAAAATAAGCATTTAATGCACAGTGCTTCCATCACACTTGCTCATCTGTGTCTTTGTTGGATGTCATTAGCAGGAGATTGAATTGCACAGGCTATTCACAACATAGCAGTAGCAGCGAAACCTCCAGGGCTCTCCCTGCTGTCTATCAGTGGTCAATATTAAATATTAAGTGTGTTATTTGATATTCTCCTGATCAAGAAGAAATTAAAAAAAAGTTTTTGTCCTGAATATTACAAACAAAACATATGATATTGCGCTTTTCTTCCTGGGGACTCAATGCGTTTATTAAATTGGTATTGGGGACAGATTGGTGGTGAGGCAGCCATGTTTGGCTTGCTCAGTAGAATATCATACTAGGACCAATTGTTACACAGGAGCCCACTAAGCCAGCGTTTCTCAACCCTCTTTTAATCACGGCATACGTTAAAGTATGCTTAATCTCAAGGCACCCCAGTATAATGTGTCGTGTATTTTAAAGGGGACCTCATGCAAAAAACACACAAAATGTGTTTCCCCCTTCATATCGAAGTGCCCCCTTCAAATCAAGATCCCCCCCTTCATATCAGAGTCACCTTTTTGCATCAGGAGCCCCCCTTTCAAATCAGAAACCTCTCTTTCATATCAGAGTTCCCCCTTTATATCAGGATCCACCTTCACAACACCTTCCTACTACCACAAAATGTAGGCACCCCTGAGGAAGAGAGAAGGCACACGAGGGTACCACAGCACCCTGGTTGAGAAAGGTTGTACTAACCTACCAGCATGTCCTTAGAGTGTGGGAAGAAACCCACACACGGACATGCAAACTCTATGCAGATAGTGCACTGGCTGGGATTTGAACCAAGGACCCCGGTCACAAGGCAGAAGTGCTAACCAACAAGCCACTGTGCTGCCATATAGTCTCTTTATGGTCATGACAGAAGAGCGCACCGTCTCATACTGACCTTCTCCTTTAAGTCCTGGATATCATTCTCCAGCCTGGCCTTGTCCTCTCGCAGCCGGCTTAATTCCAACACAGACTGACTTTGCAGCTCGGGATCAGTGATAGAGAAATGATGTTCAGGAGGTCCAGGGTCCACTTCACTGCTTCCCAGAGCCATAATCTGCTCCCTCTGCATGCTGTAAGACAAGAGAGCACACGTGTTGCTGGCTGCTGGAGGGAAGATGTATTTACTAAACCTAGTCCTAGATTTATCTAACAGTCAGGTCTGCAGCCATAGCGGCCAGAATTGTTCCTTTGCTATAATTTGTCTCTATCAGAAGACTGTTTGCAGCACCTCAAAACAGGCTCTACGGGAGATCTGAGGTATGTGGATTCTGGTCAGACAGGGCAAGAGGAGACATTGAAAGTGTGGTTTCGAAATAACTCCTTTGGAGACACAGATCAAAGCCCAACTTAAGTCACAGAAATGGATACACAGTCAAGCGGACATTGTAGTTGCAGCCACCATTTTCATGGTCTTAGCTCCACTTTCCTGTTACATATGACTGTACATTTTCAGCAGGGCACCATAGGTAGACCTAGTTGTCAATAGCACTCAGTAACATCTGATCAGACATGCCCCCTCTCTCCCTGTGCAACCCAGGTCTTGTGCTAGAGGGTGTGGCTATTACTCAGCTCTGTCGGTACAGAGCACTGGTGTGGGAAGACAGGCAGCAGCTTCTTTACTGATCAAAAAAGGGAATTTTAAGGCATTTCCAAGCAAAAATTTTCACAAATCAAAACATGGTACAAGGAGTACAATATTATAGAGAGATAAAAAGTTGTGAGACCATGAATAAAAAAAGAGGGGAATAAAAAAGGTTTGCCACTACAGACCACATGACCTAGTGCTGCCATAAGGGTGTGGTCCATCAGACAATACTGGGGGTGTTGGGCCTCATCTTTAGAGTAGAAGTAGCCCATTGTGTCTCGTTGCTCGGCACCCCACTCACCGATAGGCGATGAGAAGGCTCTCGTGTTTTTTGACCAGATTCTGCATCCTCTTTTTGTACTGCCGGGCGGCGCTGGCGAGCTGCTCCTCTCTGGATCTGTGCGAGGCTTTCATGTCACTCAGCATGCTGTCCACAAATTGCTTCATCCGAGCGGGCTCCAGCGGCGGTCTACCGGCTGTGCCGTTTCTCAGATTCCCATCCACGTATTCCTACAAAACAAAACAAACTGCCATTATCAGTAACAGTACAGTGTGTCTCGTGTATGGGAGCTGCAGATTTTGGATTACAGCATTGTCACATTGGAGTTTACCCCCAAGACTGTCCTAGCCCCTTACCACTGGCTCCCACTGGCCCTTTAAGGGAGTCTTTACAATCAAGGCCGTAGGTGGGCTCCCCATCATGTGATCACTGTAATTGGTTGTCGCGTGGTCCTGTCCTACAAGCTCCAAACCGTGAACTGTGACCTGAAAGCTATCAGTGAAAGCTCAGTCACAGTGCTCGGCGTGCCAAGTGAGCATGCTCCCAACACAGAACAGTGGCACCAGCATGTGGCAGCACCTTGATAAAGTCCACTACCATGTTGCCACATATATGCATATGGGTGGTGGCAATAGGTTAAGAGAAACCTGTACATAGTTTTGGTACATCAAAAAGGCCATGGTACAGAGATGGGCCAACTAGGTTGCAATGTGTTATGGTCACCTTAAGCCACATACTTACAGCCAGGTCCTGGATGTAGCGGTTGAGGCGAGATCGATATTCTTCATTCAGTTCTTTTAGCTGCAGCTGGAGATGTGAGTTTTCTGCCTCGGTCTCCTTCATCTGGCTTTGGGATGTTAGGAGGACCTGCAGAAGAAATGGTGATGTCATCACTGAATGTCCACGTTTTGTAGATAAGGTTCCCACCTTAGATCTAGCCATGACCCACGAAGGTGCCACTTATCAGATCACATCAAGGCAGCCATCTTGTGTATATATTTATAAAACCGGTTACTAAGTTGGTTGCATCCATTGTATGAGTGACAGGTACACTTTTCCTAGCAGTCAGATAGTGGTTGAACCTGTATATTGCTTTATTGATGACTTAATCAAGGGCACCTCCAGTAAACAACATTCTTAGGCCAACACATAAACTCACCTTTTAGATTACTCATGTATTCCTCAAAGCAACCCTGACTGCAATCTGGAAGTTCAAAATAGGAGAAGATACACATCTCTCCTGCCGCCCGCGCAGCAAAATGTTGCTCTGATCAAAAGCAATCAACGAATTCCGCTTACAGAAGTGTCAATTGCCTGTGTTGCCCTCAAGCACTCAATGGTTTCTCCTGTTGACCCCTACTTGTGTAGAATATATTTGTCCAGTTCAGCCCATATTATTGAGCATATCTGGAATCTGCATTCCAACTGAGATGACACAAAAACATCCTTGCAGTGGCTGGAGGAAGGGCAGTGGTTGAAATTGTGCGGTACTGCGGGTTTAGAATTGTGTTGTCTCTCTCATTATACTGTTCAGCTATGTACCAGATTAGGCATGGAGTTTTTGCATTATTTAGAAAAATCATTTGACAAGTAAAGAACTTACTGTATGCAGTATGCATTATAACTGTGCGTTAAACTGTATGGATGACTGCTTTGCAAAATGAAGGAATAGCTACTCAAATTTTGTGTAGGCCGCCAATAAAACAGTAGTATGGTTCAGGGACGTGCGGTCAGGGGAGGCAGGTGAGGCAGAGCCTCACCTAGAGTTATGGAGGAAAAAGCTGTCAACTTCAAGTCTGAAGCTGACAGCTTTTTCTCCATTCAGATCGGCATCTAACAGGTACAGAGCAGGGAAAACCCCCCCCCCCCCTCTGTGTAACCTGTCATGGAAGAAGTGCTGCTTGTTAATTACAGGCAGCGCTGCATCTGGCTTTTGTCAGCTAGTTAGTGAGGGACAGGGAGGCTCCTCCCTGTCTCCTCCCTTCCTCCTTCACATTAGCTTGGGGACGGGTTGGGGGTGGGGCTTCGTCCAGCGGGGGCGTGGCTTCGGTCGGCGGGGCAAGGGAATGCCTCAACCCGGAATATGAGGTACCGCACGTAACTGGTATGGTTCCCACATCCTTCAACTCCTCAACATATCCCTAAAATAAACTGGTATAGCTAAAGTACAAACATCTGCTTGGAGCATAGAGAGTAATATACAGGAAGAGTAAAGGCCTGCGGCTTTTGTATGCATCAGAACTTTCTTGTATCCCCATAAGAATCAATAGGAAAGTAAAAGCAGCTTGATGCAGCTTAGAATGTGGTCAGAAGGTCAACTTCATGTTTAATGCAAATGTCAATGATCTGGGGGATGAGCTTAGAATAATCTCAAACTGTACGTACATGCTGTTGGCGAGCTAAACTGCCTGTGGATTTCGTTAAGTCAGCAAGCTGCTGTATTCTTCATACAGACCGGGTCTTAGGAGGTATGTGATTTGCATAAAGCACCATTGGAGACAGAACACTTACCGCCGACTGTTCGGCCATCTTGTGCTGGGTGTTGCGAATAGCCCTTTTTGCCTCCTGTAGCTCCTTACCCATTGCTACCCTGTTGGTGGATCAGAGTTACCGTAAATATATGTACAGGCTAACAAAACTCATATGAGGAATTTGTTTTTAAATGCATGCAACATCAAAGACACTGACCTGATGAGTGTAAAATTTTCAACCATTGGCTAGTCATGCCAACTTAACTCTACAGTGATATTTGTTGGCCACGTTCAAAGGTAGATGCACCATTTGTACAGACTGTGCAACTACACAAGGGCCCTGTGTGGAAGCAGTGGTCTCTCTGCAGAGGTCCAACACACCCCAGCTGAGTCCCATATATGCTTATAAGGAAGCACGAACTTTGTTAGTTCCAGAGCTATAGGTCTTTGCATTGCAATTTCCACAAAAAATGGAATTGAAAGTCCCATCGCTCCACCAAATTGCCACGTATATGGCCAAACGAGAAGTCTGATCAAATGAATGTTGACCTCCTCCCATATTCCTACATGTACTTTGTGTCATTTTAGCAGGTGTGCACATGCTGAGCTAGTGTCATTGATGGCATCCCCCCACCGCCACCACTGTTCAACCACACTGCTCGGAAGGAACCTAATTAGTTTTGATTGACAGTGCTTGTTTTTGGGTAGCCCAAGACCAATGCCATCACTACTGTGGCAGGGAAGGGGGCATCTCAGCCAGAGGAGGGGGCATGTGAATATGACTGCCTTGAAAATACACAGTGAATGAATGAGATGCCCGCTCACAGCAGGAGGGGCAGAAGCAGCTGAGCTCTATAATAGGAACGTTCACAAATTGGGCTTCAGGCAGGGGAGGAGCTCGAAGGCAATAAGAGCAGACATAAAGATCTTATTTTCTGTCAAATCATTCAGGGTTTGCACAATCAAGAAAATAAAGTGTGAACCAAAAGGGTAGCAGGTAAGGTTGTATCCCTAGTGAGGCTTCTTCTTCAAGGGTAGTGCACCCTTCACCCAGCGGCGTCCCGAGGCCGGGTGTCACTCAGAGCGGAGACCGGGTGACACCCCGCCGTAACGTCATTGCGCATGTGCGGCCATCTTATTGACACCTTGGTGATGGACGCCGGCAGAGAGAGGAGGGGACGTTCACCGGGCGGGATGAGGTATGCCGCCGTGTCCCCTCCTCTCTGCTGCACCCCCCTTGTGATGCCACTGCCTACACCATCTTCGTAAATAACCTCAGTAGCATAACTGGGCTCAGCTTGCTGGATAATACATGACATCCTTTGTCTGTATGTTTCCTTTATGTGACTTACAAGTTGAAAAATAAGACTTACACTCTTTCCTCCAGCCTCTGTTGCTGGGTGTTGTGGATCCTCTTCATGCTTTCAAGCTCCTCCTTGATTTCATCGTGATTCCCGAGAAGCTGTAATAAAACAATTATTAGGGGAGGGTAACAGCTTGTCCTCAGCTTCCTCCCTTGTCCAGTGCCATCAGTCCCTTTCGGGCAGAACCACACTAATGTCATTCTGCCCATTGCCCAAGCTTGTTGCCCTGGGGCATGTCATCCTGCAGGATTGGCTCACAGTGCTACAGGACTAAGCGGCACTCGGATATCATTATGTGATCAATGTTCAATCCAGGTGTATTTCCAATGAGCACACATTCTGAGGTTAGACATAAATTCATTTTTGGTGCAACTTTTACATTTTTACCTTCCATCGGTTCCATATGACTACTCAATAAGAAATTATTTGCAGAGTGTCCTATAGAGACGTGTGCACTTCCTGATTGGCTACTGCTGATATTAAAAGGAGAACTATGGGGTTAAGGCTTTTCCCTGTTAGGGTAACAGGAGGACACAAACTAGCGTCCTCCTGTCACCCTAGGCTCAGTATACCACGAGCAGCAGACGCCGCATCTGAAGCGGATCCCGACAATTTTGTCGGGATCCGCCCAGCTGCGTGAGTGACAGCTGGCTCTGCCTATCTAGAGGCAGAGCCAGCTGTACCCGCTCCCTCCCCCGTCCGTTCCGCCAGTCAGCGCTGGCGGATTGGAGCGGGGAGGGGGGAATCCAGCCCCTCCCCTGTCACGGCAGAGAGCCGTGACAGGATCGAGAGGTGAGTGAACGCCGGTATGTGTTCGCTCACCTCCCGATCTACTGAGCCGACCTGTGACAGTCTCATTGTCACAGGTCGGCTAGAACTATGAGGTGAGTGAAAAGCACCCCCCCCTCATAGTTCTCCTTTAAAGGTGTGGTCCACCCAACACTGATATTTAGCTATAGGTAGCGTCTGGTGAGCTGAGATGCCCCCCCGGGTTTCTTATATGTCTTGGCTACTCCAACAGAAAGATCTCCCTGCCATGGTTCCCAACTTTGTTCCTGTACACTTGAAAGTCTGGGATGTCCCTGTGACAACATGGTGATCAGTTTATGTGTATTGGTTAAGTTAAATGTGTATTGGTGTTGGGTTATGTTTGAGTGCGTTATGCTGTGTGACCTGGTTATGGAAAGACTATCAGCCCCATCCCTCGTTATCTCCTATTGTTCTCTGAGGGAGCTCAGAACAATGACATTCTGGCCAGGCTCCTGCTATGGCCGTCTGGAGTTCGTTAGCAGGTGGACACCTGTGGTGTTGAGCAGACCGAAGGTCCTATGAGGGGAGGGGGGATGTGATGGGATTATATTCTGATTTCATCACTTGCTGTATAAAAGTTTGTGCAGTTGCTCAATAAAGGAGAGTTTGTTTACCCTACACTCCAGCCTTGGCTAGTGACTGGGGAAACTGGGAGCTAAGGATCTTCAGGTTCCAATATCTCCTGAGCAAGGAAGAAGACAGCGGCGGACATACTCATCCTGAGTACGGGGGTCCGTCACAGTCCCTGCCCACTTTTGTGTGTCCCATCTCTTCCTGTAACATTCTCCACAATATTAAATAAATAAACAATGCAGCAGGAAGAGTGAGAGGCCCTCATAATGGGCATAGTTGGTGTACAGACCCAGAAACTCAATGCAGGTATAGTGGGAGCCCCTCATAATGGGCATAATCGGTGTACAGACCCGGGAACTAAGTGCAGAAATTGTGGGACCAGTACAACCCCCTCATAATGGACACAGCAGGTGTACTGACCAAAGAACTCGGCACAGTGATGTTGGGAGCCCCTTATAATGGGCACAGCAGGTGTATAGACCCAGGAACTAAGTTCAGGGATGGTGGGAACCCCTCATAATGGGCACAGCAGGTATTTAGACCTGGGAACTCGGCACAGGGATAGTGGGAACCCCTATATTAGACCCAAGAACTCACCAATGGAATCTCTAAGAGACAGAAGAAACTGTCAGGGGGTATATCTAAAAATCCATAAACTAGACTATAGTTTCCCTTTAAAAAGGAAAAGCTAAACCTGAATGTCACATGGGTCTGGTATTGGGTCTGCATATTGGCTGACCTCCCATTATAAGAATTGCAGTGGAGAGGTTTGCTTCCATTTGGTGTTTTCAGTTCCTAAAACCGTATCCTGCATCTCCCCGGCCTATGATTCCTATGGGCAGGAAAATCCATCTAACTGGATTGTATACATGTATATCAGCAGCAAGGGGATGGGACACTTATTGCTTGCTTAGACCGTGACCATTTCCTTGTAGTTCCGGTCCTGCTAAGATTGATCCGTTTCAGCAAAGAATCAGCATGAATTCACAACTTACACTTCTCTCTAGTTTTCTTCTTTCGTGTTCAGAGGCGACAAGTTCTTCTGGCTAAAAAAAAGAAAAACAGTTAAAAATGACACAAATCTCTAAACATCCTCCAAAGTGGTCACGTTTATACACGCCTGCTAATTCCTAACAGAGTCAGTTGCATCATAGGGATTGCCAGGTCGGGGAACCCAATCCTAGGACAGGAGGTGTGTTAGGATTAACGATCACCTTCCCTTCTCCTCATCTCCAAACCATAGAGGGGGATGTTCTAAATTCCATAGAGAATACAAACATGTCTAAATTCCAGGATTGCAAACATATTGTATTATTATGATACATTTTATTGACACCACTTCATGGCAATGTTTGCATCATTACTCCTATTGGACACAACTCCTTTTCTGATGCATTTTGCCCTCAATCAAGGCTTGGGGATTAGAGAGATACCTGGGAACAATGTAACTGACTAAAGTGCATCAAAGGCAGAGAGCACAGGAAAAAAAATAAGCTGATAAGGTTTCTGGTAGGATCAACAGGGATGTTTTGCACTTATTGATCAGATAAACAAAATACTTTCCACTCTTTATTTGAAAGACCAACGGGGAGCAAATAAGAGGAGTTTATTATAAGGATTTACAGATTTCTTGGTCTCTATATGCCATTAAAAACAGTTTCTGGGTAGCAGTTCTACTATGTTTCATGGCAGACTCTGGTTCCTGTACCTTGATCTTACGTGCTGACAGGCGGTCAACCATGGCCCGCACCCTCTCCAGCTCTGCAGTGGCCTCACTGACGAGGGCCCGGGACTGGGAGTAGCTCTCCCCATCTCCCCTCTTAGCCAGGTTCAGGAGCTCCATACTCAGCTCTTCGTTTTTGGCCACCTGCAGGAATGGACGTTCAGACTTAGTCAACAGAGGACACCATAGGCAACAGCTAAACTGTAAGGAGAGCCAACCCTGTTTGAGTTTACTAAAGTCAGATGACTGAATAATGAACTCTGAATGCTTGCTATTGGTTACTGCACTCTGCACTTTGTCTTGGCGAATAAGGACATGGGGACCTATGTAGGAAGGTAAAGACTTCTGTGCGGAGAATGTGATTTGATGACAGCAAGAGATTAGAAGAACATGGGTCAGAGCTGGTAAAATAAGGACTCCATTAGAAGTATGGGGCTACCATTGCTGGCCTCTATCTGAAAAATGGTTGTGGCCTGGCTGTGTCTGGGATCACTACTTTTTGAGTATGCTGGAAGTGAACATCAGAATTCCTTATCTTTATACCTGTCCTTAGACAGAGTCTCAAGGTATAATGAAGCCGGCGCATCAGAACAACAGCCAGTAGATAGGCATGATTGTCTCATGACAGGTCTCCATTTAGCAATGTTCGTATATGTAAGGCAAAAATAGAATAACCCCATTATCAATGTAAAAAACCTACTGGGGGAAGCACACAGAGTTTATGGTGTCATTGCATCTCCAGCTTTCAGGTACCGGTGTGTAAATGTAAATTTTAGCCTTATGTGTGTGTCTACTCTTCCTCCATAGCGTTTAGTAGCTAAAACCAGTCTGAAGCAGGAAAAAGTAGCTTAAGTTTAATGGGAGATTTCCCTGCTTTGCTCCTGCACATGTAATGCATGGTATCAAAGAGGCTGGGCACAGACACCATGTTTTCAGACGCTCTTGGGCTACATATTGTCAGTTCCTTTGGAGATACAAGTGTTAATTGGTTGCATTGAGTAATAGCAGCTTCTATTCTTCACAAAGGTGTGATGTGAGAATAAGAAGATGGGAAGCAATTATTCCAAGGGAAGGCCAATTTTGCCTGCAACAGGCTTCTCACCTCTCTTTCATGCTCCTTGCTCAGGGCCAGGTAGTTGCTCTTCAGGACTATGTACTCATCAGCCAGCTCCTTGCGGTTGGTCTCCACCGAATGTAAACGTTCTTTCACAGCCCCATACTCACCGGCCAGCTTCTCCTTCTGAAGCTCCAGAGACATCAACCGGTTCTCCAGTGCCAGGACCTATGGTAGACGTCAAGAGATCCCAAATATTTTAAGGTGGAAATTGAAGTGGACTTAAGTGCCATTCGTGTATAAAAATCGGCTTACCGTGTTCTTCAGTTCAAAGGTCTCGGCCTCATAATGCTCCCTTATTTTGTTGGTTTCTATCTGAAGTTCAATCAGTTCCTTTGAAATCTACAAACATAGACATGTGTTGGAAGATGTGGGAGAGTCAAAAAAAAAAAATCTACACTATAAGTTTTCAGAGAGGTAAACCATTTGATTCTCTCAGATAGAATTTTTGCAGGTGAACAAACAAGCATCTAAATAAGCTGATCTTGTCTAAACCACAGGTCAAGTTTGCATGGCCAATATCCTGTGTGTCTGGGACCATTGGGTAGTCCAGATACTTTCTGACCATCCCACCTAGATCCTGCTTACTACTCTTATATAGTGCCTCTGCTCCATGTGGACTAGACCCTGCAGAAATTCCATTGTGTCCAACAACCCGTAGTAGCCAACCCAAGCCACATCACAGGTAGCTGATAACAACACGTGGTGCACCATTCACTGGTTGATGACCTCACGTTTTACATAAGGTCCCATGAAGGATCACACTTTTACCTTCAGCTTTTCTTCCTCACTCATGACCAGCCTGGAGGACAGATCAGTCTTGGAACCAGCCAATTTCCCCATCTTCTCCTGCAGCTCATTCAGCTTGGCGTACAACCTCTCATTGCGATCCAGCAGCTGTATCTGATGGGAAGAAAGACAATGCTAAGCGCATGAGTAGAGCTCAGTGCACACCACCATATAAAGCCTGGTAGCCTGGTATTGTATGTTGGATTTCCAGCTGAAGCTTCCACATAGCTGACTATCTCCTTGCCCCCATGTGAAAGTGCTGGGCCAATCACCAAACACATGCATTGCAACATGAAGTGAGAGACA